TTTTAATATTGGATTTGAGCGATTTGATTTCAGCAGAATATTTGGCTTCAAGCTCAATACGGGACATCCGTTCATAAATAATTTGGGATATAAGCTTAGTATTTGCACCATTTAGCTGGCTAACCTTATTTCCAATATCAGCATGGAATCACTGGAACTCCTTTTCTCACCTATTGTACTTATCTACTAGCTTTTTACTGAGATCATTAATTTCAGAATTAAATTCGGTAACAGATCTTATTTTTTTTTCAAGTTCTTGCTCATATGCACTACCCAGCCGATGTCCCCTTTTATTGATATTTTTCAGTGTATGCACATTAGACATAATCTTAGCATAGTTACATAGAAGGAAAAAAAGACGCGAATAAAATTTCAGCTAAACATTAATCGATAATTTGGTTTGCCTTCTCGTATATTAGTAACAAACGTTCTCCAATAATAAATATCGCTTTTTATCATTCTTTATTATCCTAAAACAATAAGTAATATTTTTATCATTTTTTTATTATCCTAAAACAATAAGTAATGTTTTTATCATTTTTTTATCATTCTAAAATATTGCCAAAAAATACTGATGATTAATGCCTACCCAATTTTTAAAAACTCATTATCGATGAGGTGCTAGTGTTTTAATACCAGAGCAGGTTGAAGAAATCAGAAGCCTTAAAAACAAGGTCCCCGCATATATGATAGTAAGAGACTATTATATCAATAAAAATCGCGTCTCTGATATATAGGATGAGAGTGAACGTCTGCAACAGAGTGGGGACTATGTATTAGCTGATATACTCTCAAAGACATCTAACCCTAGCGAAACTGATAGCAAGAAAAAAAAGACTGGAGGAACCAAGCTGAAAGAAAAATCCAGGTCCAAGTCTGTTCATATTTCTGAACCACCCGTCTCTCAGATTCTCCCATTAGGACTGATTCAACCAATCTCCGTGAATTTAGAAAGTTCAGATATAAATAATGAGAAATTGTATGCATCGCATGAGAAGATATCTAAAAGAAGCATAAAAAATATAGCGAAAATGAAGAATTTATTAAAAGAAAACTTGCCTATTTCCTAAGAAATTCGTCATAGCATGTCTGTAGTCTTTCACAATACTCATTGATTTCTGCATTATACTTGAGAATGGTATATAGTATTTTTTCGAGCTCCTCATAACTCACTTTTTTTTAATATATTATCATCTTCACTTAAGTCCTGCAAGTCTTGTGAAATTCTATCTGGAATTGAGGAAGCATCGCATTCAGGAGTAATATTCACGCAATTTACCTCAAGCTTATTCTTAACCTTATGCATAGTAACTGGGAAGATATAATCTTTTCCATTAAGGGGAATCTTCAGCTCATTAGTATTCCAATCTATTGCGCATTTGTACTTCTTTAAAAGTTGATTGGAAAATATTAGCGTAGGCTTGTGGTATCTCACAACAACAAAATCTTCATAGATAGTACAACCTGGGGCTAGAGTAATAGGCAAATTACGAACAACTCCAACAGATTCAATCGGAACTGTAGCAATACCACTGAGATCATGTGTTTCAGATTTATCAATTTTAGCCCCCACATGCTCAACAATATTTTTTGTTATGATAGGGGGTTATGCTCCAGAATCAAGAGTCATAGCGGGAATCTTCAAACGCTTGATTTTACACTCCACAGTTGCAACACTTGTTTTCGGCTCTTTTTTCTGAACAAAATCGATCTCCATTGGATCATCTAAATATTCATTCTCCTCTAGATCTGACAATATATCTTTGGTAATTGGAATCTCATCACTTTGCTCCTGAATAAAAAGTGCTTGTTTTAGCACATCAACTTTAAAATCTTGGGCAATAAGTGCAGGAAAAATTAATTTAAGCTCACTTTGAACAATCTTGCGGATTGTATCCTCTAAAGTGCTTTGCTTGCTTTGTTTAGCCTTATCAGAGTTAACTACAGGCTTCCCAATATTTGTTTTGTCAGTTTGCTTAACAGATTTATGTGACTTAGATTTTTTCTTAGACTGCTTCTTTGAGGATGATTTCTTGGGGCTAGACTTCCGCTTTAGTTTTTTTTTATCTTAGCCATATCAACATTAAGCTCACCTTCAGAATCAGAAGAATCGGAAGAACTTGAATCAGAACTATCACTAGATGAGGTATCAGAAGAAGAATCTGAATTCGAATCCGAGGCCAGATCTAAAGCGAGATTAACCTTACCTTTTTTAGTTTTTTTGTTTTTCTTTTTCTTCTTCCGAGAGCATTTGCAAGAATTATGCCAAGACTTATCACAGATAGAACATTTATGTTGATTTTTTACAGCTTTTTTAATGGATTTAGCCACATGTAACTTTAACTGCCTTTTTGTGAGCTCAGAAAGTTCATCATCAGAATCAATCTCAACCTTTTTAT